CATGTCGACTCTTCAGCATATTTTACCGGTCATAGTCCGGTAATTACCGGCTAACGGGAACTCTGACACACACACACACACACACACACACACACACACACACACACACACACACACACACACACACACACACACACACACACACACACACACACACATGATTTGAGTGATTATTTTGTTAAGGATGGCCACATGATAACTTACACCAACATGACCATGAGTAATTTCCCCACATGAATCGATGCGCTAATGAAACTCCTGCTTTAATCACATGCAGTAGGGCTAAACTAATGACTCCTCTGGTTATACGTTTTGACATATGTTCTTGTAAAATCAATTAAACATTTTTAATTATCAAAACAGTTGTGGGTTAATGAACTAGTTGGTAATGGTTGCAGTTGTCTGAGCTGGTTGGTGATCAGTCAGTATGTCCTGAGGCAGCAGTCACTTAAATAAACATCTCCACTCAGGCTGGTGCTCGCCACATGATGTCAGCTTGGACCTTTATTTATCAAAGGATGGTTGAAAGTGGAGCATGCATGCCTCCCAGCATTCCTTCTGACACTCATTCATACATTTCTACTAATTTCCACACGGTGAGCGACCAGTTAAACCATACTTTGACAAATACAGAGAACAAAAGCACCAGTGTTGTGGTTGTGTCTTCTTTTTGTATCAGAGTACAGTGGACCAACGAATGTTTTGAAAACCGATCCATACTAGTCTGTGCCAATATTCTTAAGCATGGCCATTACATTTAGCTGATGCTTTTATCCAAAGTATCTTACAACAATCAATCATCTATGAATGAACAAAATCAATAATATTTTAAATGGGTTAGCCGAACCATTCGAAGTTGTGAGCAGTTTGAAAAATAAATTATTATTATTACTGTTGGCCCTGATATCGATTGGGTATCCAGAATTGTTTGATTGTTATTACCGCATCGTCCATAGAGTGGACCTTGAATGAGGTCTACAGACAGAGGGGCACCTCTGAAGTTCCCGTGGGATGGACTGAGGTCTGCTGCCACAACCTGCTTTCACTCTGCTCTCCCTCCTTCACTCTGCTCTCTCACTCCTTCACTCTGCTCCCACTCCTTCACTCTGCTCTCTCACTCCTTCACTCTGCTCCCACTCATTCACTCTGCTCTCACTCCTTCACTCTGCTCTCCCTCCTTCACTCTGCTCCCACTCCTTCACTCTGCTCTCTCACTCCTTCACTCTGCTCCCACTCATTCACTCTGCTCTCACTCCTTCACTCTGCTCTCACTCCTTCACTCTGCTCTCCCTCCTTCACTCTGCTCCCACTCCTTCACTCTGCTCTCTCACTCCTTCACTCTGCTCCCACTCATTCACTCTGCTCTCACTCCTTCACTCTGCTCTCACTCCTTCACTCTGCTCTCCCTCCTTCACTCTGCTCCCACTCCTTCACTCTGCTCTCTCACTCCTTCACTCTGCTCTCCCTCCTTCACTCTGCTCCCACTCCTTCACTCTGCTCTCTCACTCCTTCACTCTGCTCCCACTCATTCACTCTGCTCCCACTCATTCACTCTGCTCTCACTCCTTCACTCTGCTCTCACTCCTTCACTCTGCTCTCCCTCCTTCACTCTGCTCCCACTCCTTCACTCTGCTCTCTCACTCCTTCACTCTGCTCCCACTCATTCACTCTGCTCTCACTCCTTCACTCTGCTCTCACTCCTTCACTCTGCTCTCCCTCCTTCACTCTGCTCCCACTCCTTCACTCTGCTCTCTCACTCCTCCACTCTGCTCCCACTCATTCACTCTGCTCTCACTCCTTCACTCTGCTCTCACTCCTTCACTCTGCTCTCCCTCCTTCACTCTGCTCCCACTCCTTCACTCTGCTCTCTCACTCCTTCACTCTGCTCCCACTCATTCACTCTGCTCTCACTCCTTCACTCTGCTCTCCCTCCTTCACTCTGCTCCCACTCCTTCACTCTGCTCTCCCTCCTTCACTCTGCTCTCCCTCCTTCACTCTGCTCCCACTCCTTCACTCTGCTCTCACTCCTTCACTCTGCTCTCCCTCCTTCACTCTGCTCCCACTCCTTCACTCTGCTCTCCCTCCTTCACTCTGCTCCCACTCCTTCACTCTGCTCTCTCACTCCTTCACTCTGCTCCCACTCATTCACTCTGCTCTCTCCCTCCTTCACTCTGCTCCCACTCCTTCACTCTGCTCTCTCACTCCTTCACTCTGCTCCCACTCATTCACTCTGCTCTCTCACTCCTTCACTCTGCTCCCACTCATTCACTCTGCTCTCTCACTCCTTCACTCTGCTCCCACACTCCTTCACTCTGCTCTCACTCCTTCAATCTGCTCTCTCACTCCTTCACTCTGCTCCCACTCCTTCACTCTGCTCTCTCACTCCTTCACTCTGCTCTCTCTCTCCTTCACTCTGCTCTCACTCCTTCACTCTGCTCTCTCACTCATTCACTCTGCTCTCTCACTCCTTCACTCTGCTCTCTCACTCCTTCACTCTGCTCTCTCACTCCTTCACTCTGCTCCCACTCCTTCACTCTGCTCTCTCACTCCTTCACTCTGCTCTCTCTCCTTCACTCTGCTCTCACTCCTTCACTCTGCTCTCTCTCCTTCACTCTGCTCTCTCTCTCACTCCTTCACTCTGCTCTCTCACTCCTTCACTCTGCTCTCACTCCTTCACTCTGCTCTCTCACTCCTTCACTCTGCTCCCACTCCTTCACTCTGCTCTCTCACTCCTTCACTCTGCTCTCACTCCTTCACTCTGCTCTCTCACTCCTTCACTCTGCTCTCTCACTCCTTCACTCTGCTCTCACTCCTTCACTCTGCTCCCACTCCTTCACTCTGTTCTCTCACTCCTTCGCTCTGCTCTCACTCCTTCACTCTGCTCTCTCACTCCTTCACTCTGCTCTCTCACTCCTTCACTCTGCTCTCACTCCTTCACTCTGCTCCCACTCCTTCACTCTGTTCTCTCACTCTTTCGTTCTGCTCTCACTCCTCCGCCCTGCTCTCACTCCTCCTGCTGCTGCCTCGTCAGCACACCCAGCCCTCACATATAGACACGCAGCTCCAGGATCAGTGAAACAAGTCAAACAGGTCGAGTCAGTGCCATTTCCCGGCCATCTTCATTCACTCATTCAAATGTTGATTTAGAAACACAATTAGGATATTGTGCAGAGAAACCTCGGGCGGTTATGCAACACTCCACCCCCTGACACCATTAGCTGCTCCACTGTAGCAGCATAACTGGGGGTGAGTTTAGATGGTATTTGTGGATGAATGTTGATTTTGAAAAAAAGAAAAATACCAGATTTTCTTCCTAAGATTTAAAGAGGGTCACATACTTTATCACTGTTGTAAATTATTTTCCAGTGTTTCCCACATATTTGAAATATACTTTAGGGGGTGGTGGTAGCGGGGGGTGGGGGGGTTGAGGTGACGTGCAACAACATTAACATGAACCTTTCTGTTGGTCGCTTGTTAGCAGACCCTTCAGATCAAATCAAATCAAGTTTTATTTATATACTGTAGCACATTTATAAACGATTTTTGGTGGAGCCAAAGTGCTGTACATATAATAAAAATAGCCTACAGTAGAGACACTTTACAGCAAATACAACAGCACAGATTGTTCAGAATATCAGTATGAGAAAAACGACACCCTCTGTCCTTAGACCCTCACATCGTACAAGGAAACACTTCCAGAGAAAACCCACAGTTTAAGGGGAAAACATGGGAGAAACCTCAGGGAGAGCAACAGAGGAGGGATCCCTCTCCCAGGACGGACAGAAGTGCAATAGATGCCGTGTGTAAATCCAAGAGATAATACATTTTACAGCATATAGACCGAATGTTAGGAAATGCATGTGTCTGTAATAAGAAGATGAATCCACGAGGATGTCAGCTACAATCCTGTGGAAGCCATCAGGGAAGCAGCATGACGAGACCCAAGGCAGGACCGCAGAGACAGGTTTAGCCATGACCCGAAGTCCACGACTTAATCCAGAACTCAGGATAGAGGATCCAAGACACAGGACTACAGCAAGAGGATCAGCCTCGACTCCGGATCCCGGCGTAGATATAGATACAAAACAAGAAAACATATTTGGCTGGGTTAATCGGAACAAGAGAATACACAGACACAGACAGAGAGGGGAAAGGTCATTGGATAAAAGTTATTCTTGATAACCCTCTAAAAAGATGAACTTCCCCACTCAATCTATCAAGACCCGAGCAGTTCTATTAGATATAGGATAAGAAACAGAGATAGGGAGCACAACAACCTTCACGCGATGGCAGAGCGAACAGGTACAGGCAGAGCCCTGATAAACATATGGACATGGGTTACTATTTAAAACAAATGGTACATGTATTTAGGAACCTATCCATGTGATTTTAAGTGGGGGTGGACCTCAAATCCTCTAGGGGGGGTCCGGGGGCATGCTCCCCCGGTAAGATTTGTTTTTAAATGTTGGAGTTAAATGCATAAATCTGGTGCACTTTGAGGGGAAAGCAAAGAGACTAGATATATGGGAACACCTATATGAAACAGAACTGTATACATTTCAATAATCATAAAATCATGGCCATAACCAATAACATATCCAATATGAAAAAACACTGACACCCTCAAATGGAAATATGTGTTTACATAAATGGTGACCAAACCGTTTGAGACCCACTGAGATAACTTGGACTAAGTGACCTATCTAAACACTCAGAGAGTCCTTTACCTCGCCTTTTTTATATAAAAAAAAAAACCTAAATGGGTCGCGATTCGCGAAATATACTTGGGCGGCCGTTAATATACCTGGGCGGCCCGCCCAAGTATAGTCTATGTGTGGGAAACCCTGTTTTCTATGCACTTCTATCTATATACCCATATAATAGAATGTCCTTTGACGTAAGGTCGGGAAATATGATTTGTTCCTCCCACATTTAGTTCTGTTCACTCAACAGTCCATTCCCCAGTCCTCATGCAGCCATGTTTCCTGTCCTCCATACAG